AAAACGAGTGTGGCCATATATAACATAAGAGCATTTCTTGTTGAGGTAGGCCAATTTCCTCTAAAAATAGCACATTCTAGGGAGTTTTGATTAATTCCGACGAAATTAGAATTAAAAAAACAAAAATTCTTCGCGCGCATTTTTTAATGTTGAAGCTTGTGCTTACTCTCCTTTACCTTCGAAGTTATAACACATAGTCCCAAACTCAAGAAAGAAATTCAAGATAGATCGTTTTACCTAAAAGAAGGGCCTCAATGTGTAATGATGGTGAAAGAATAGGCCTATGATTGTAATAAATAAAACCACGATGAAAATGCTTATATTTAGTTTCAAACACACGTGTGTGGCCTACATTAATAATAAAATAAGCCCTATGCCGTGTTGTTTTCTATATGGGGGTTGGGAGTTATCACACCAAGTCATAAATTACTAACCGGGAAAAGTATTACCTTTGCCCCCCCCCCCACCCCCCGACGCAAGACCCCTGTTACGCGCCTGCTTATAAGTGGGGTCCCCCCCACTTTGAAAAACGTTCCGCTGGCCCTGTGTAAGTTTAAATGTATTTTATATTTTGCAGTTCCGGAGCTCAATTGGTAAATTATAAAAATTAGGAAAACTAAATGCACGTTTAAAACATTCCAAATTTGAAAAATTTCCTAACAAATCATAGCTTCCATCTAGTGAAATTATCCAAATAGCAATTTAATTCAAAAACAAGAATTTTCTGAAATGTACTGAGCAGGGTTAATAATTTATTTTATGATATAGTTTTTATAATATTGACCTAGATTCCCGAAAATGGCACTGTCAGACATCAAAATACTTTTTAAGATTTTTGAAATAACTATGGATTTCCATTTTTTACCAAAATTTTTTTGTGAAATTAGTGACCATGTACTGTACTACTATTATAGCCAGAATTGCAACAGGATGGCAATTTTGGGCCGACCTAGTTTAGGCCTAGGCCTAAGGCCTAAATTTTAGCTTCAAACTTATTTTGAATTATTTTATTGACGATATTTCAAAGCGTCAAGGAAGAGGCATCAAGCATCACAGCCAGCTTGGGAGCGTCACGGTGCACCGTGACGAAGTCCCCAAGCGTCACGGTACCGTGACGCTTCAAGGGCCTGGGACAACACTGATAGATATTATGTTTAAAGAGTTGAATTGTATAAGAAGCAGAAAAAACATGGTGTAAGTTTAATCCAAAGAACAGAACTTCTTGGAATGAATGAGATAAAGTACGGAAAGTGGAAGTAGAAATGAAGTATTTGTGAACATGCGCAGAAGGGTTATTCCATATCAAATCACCCAATGGGTTTAACCCAACCGACTCCAATTTTGATGAAAATTAGTATATATGTTGGGTTTAAGATCAAACGTCCAAACCTCAAATTTTAGCAAAATCGTTTGATGCCAAACCCAACATGTACAACAATTTTTATCAAAATCAGAGTTGGTCGGGTTAAAACTTTTCATTTTTTTGGATGATTTGACATGAAATGTCCTAGAAGCTCATGTTGACCTTGAAGAGACGTGGAGGCGAGGGACAAAAGCACAATGTTCTAAAGAACAATAAACAAAAAAAGTGCCTAATCCTAAGAACATCACATCAGCAGCATGAAGTTGATTAGTTACTTGTTATTATTCAGCTAATGTTTACAATAGAAATAGTGGAACTGAACAACTGAGATCTGTGTTGAAAGAGGGGAAAAAAAAAAAAAAGTATATACAGTAGTATGATTAGTTTAGCCAATATCTCAGCTAAAAATATTTCAAATCTAAGGTGACCACAGAGGTAGTAGGTAGTTTACTTGTCACCAGCCTGTGCAAAATCCACTAGCATCCTCATGCCTTCTTGGTTAAGAGCTCAGTGTACACAATTGGCTGGTGTGCACTTTAAAAATTCCAATATATCTCCTTCGAGAAGAGTAGGTTACCCCCATGTACTGGGCCATCTGACCACTGTTCATGTTGACAGATGAAAGTGCACCTTTAGGCAGCTGACAGATCAGACATGAGATGAAGTGACACTTTGGGGAGAAGGAAGTTTTTGAGAGAGTTGATCCACGTCTATAAGCACTTCATGCCTTTTAATATCTATTATTATTATAATAATAATAATGTCGACTTATATAGTGCATTGTAGACTAACCTCTATGCGCTTTACATTATTACCCCCAGTCACTGGATCAAGCACATGGAACACAACACTCATGCCCCATAATTTTGCAGCTGTAATCAGCGCATGGTTATGTTTGAACCTACCAGGTACCCACTACAAATAGCATTAATATATTAAGTAAGCTTACATCCATTCCAGTTTTCATTTTTTCTATCAATGTTTCCACTTGCTTCTCAGAGGTTTGAGGTGGTTGCCAGTGTTGTCTGTTGCCCGATGATGTACAGTTGAGCCTGGGTAGTGATACTGACTGCCTATACTCTATTGGGTGCCGTAACGCTTCAATTTCTTCACACTTTAATGAATTATTAGCTGTGATATTCTCACCGAGACTGTAAAGTAAAAATAAAAATAAACTTCACATAAAATGAAATGTAGGTGTTAATTAAGACATATTTTGTCATATTTTTTGATTAAAATATTTAAATACTCATCATAGAATTATATATAATAAAGTTATTTAAAAGTAATAACATACGGTATGACTATTATTATAAAAATAACACATTTATATTTTATATATTTTTAAATATATATATTTTTTTTTAAATGATGGGGAGACATAAAACAATAATAACAGTAGCGACATCAGCGGTGGCAGCTACACCAATAGCGGTAGCAACAAAGGCATTAGCAGTGGTAACAATGGCAGTAGCAGCAACAGCAGCAGCAGCAACAACAATAAAAATTCAGCACACCTATCTTATTTCTTTTCACACACAGAAATATACAAAAAAAGAAAACACATTAACCTACAGAGTTAATGGAAACTCTGCTAAGCTAATTGATATACTGAGTAGCTGCAGTGACATTTGGATTCTCTCTCGTTTGCTGGATGTAAGGGAGTAGGCAAGGAATGGTACAAACAGTTGATTCTAAAAAGGAAAAAAAAAGGTTTATATGAATGTTTATTCATTACCTCTTATCATTTCATATGAAACTCATGTAGGTTAAATCAAATAGAATGATACCGATCATTCTATAAATAGGATTTTTTTTTGTATTTAAGAGACAGTGAAAACTTAAATTATTTAAAAGGGAACTAGCAAAATGACTTTTTTTCTGGAAGGGATTTTTGATATGCCATTAATAATAGAATAAACCTAATTAAATTTTTTTGATGTTATAGGCCATTATCTGATTTCATCATGGTGAAAAAAGTAACAAAAGATCGTACAAATAGCATCACGTAGGGTATCTACCGCGTACGATCTCTGCGTGCGTGCTGTAACCATGGCTGTAACTCCTTTGTTGACCACCCCTGATGCTTACCAACTCAGTACATCATTTGCCTGTAAAAAGCTTGCAATGGCCGAACATATGCCAAGTGGTTTTTTTTATTCAAACCAGAAAGACAAAAATATAACGTTGAAGTTAGCTAATGCCTACTATGAACGATCGCAGAATGCCCGTGTTGTAGGGAAGCAGATGTTTGGAAGAAGACTGGAATGGAATGGAATAAAACCCATCTTTTGTATTTTGAGCGGCATAATACTGAAATTTTAGAAATTATCTTGGTAATCATGTGCTTCTTTGATTTACACGACAGATCTGACATGAGCAAACCCACTTGCCTGACGCCAAGGACAAGTTTTTTTAGTGTCGGACAAGAATTAGGGACCACTTATCCGTGGAAAAGCACTTTTAGAATAAGCTACGGTATTGGTGACAAGTTTCATCATTTCATCAACAATATTTGTTGACATGTCCTGACTAAATTTGTGCCTCCCGATTTATAAAGAAAAGTATTATAGGCCTACTCAATATAAATTTGTTATTTGCTGCAGTAAAGATTGAAAATGGATCCTTAATTGTTAACATGCTAACCAGATCTACACTAGACGTACAGCAGGTATATATTTTCACACGATATGGTACTTGTTAGTCGCCATCCGCCTGGGCCTGTCACATGGTCTGTTTACAATATAAATTCGCACTGGTCTAGTCTGTAACTACCAGACATATTTAAATACTATGGGCGCACAGCCATCATGATTAGTTGAGTTGGACGACATAAGATGTCTGGACATCAAGACAAGT